ACAATTGCCTTGAAAACTGCAAAAGGACTCGTCCAAAAAGCAGTCACTGCAGAGTCGGTAATGACTGAGCGCAGACAAAAAAAAAAAAAGTCATACGGTGAATATGGGAGAAAAAGAGGCACGGAATGAAAATTGCAACAGTTCAAAACTTACCTCCCAATTAAACCTCAAGTGAGACAGAGCAGATAATCAGCCCCAGCAGCCTTCCCAGCCTGGGGGCCTTCCAGATATGTGGACCTCAACTCGCGGAAGTGTGGTGACTGCTGAGATTTTTGGGAGTTGACGTCCATCCATCTGGAGGGTGCCAAGGAATGGGAAATCTGGGACAGAGCCAACAAACAGAACTGCAATGAAACAAATGAAAAGAGGAGACTGTAAGAACACCAGGCTGTGCTGACTTCAACAAAAAGGAGGAGGAGGAGGAGGAGGAGGAGGAGACTACTTTGTGGAAATCAAATTGGCCCTTCAAAATTTTCTTCAGAGCTAAGTCTACATGCAGTCTATGAGGAGTTGCCTAGCTGTAGTTCAAGGTTGGAACAGGAGGTTCAGGGAGAGAACCAAAGGAACAGTTGGCTGGCTAGGTTCAGTAGGTATGTTACCAAGTATTTGAAAGGCAGCCTTCCCCAAGATGCTGTTCTTCAAATATATTGGAATTTGACTCCTGTAATCCCAGCTAGCAGGGCTGAGGCATGCCTAAAGGCTATGGAGTTGCAATGCACCTCAAGGGCATCTATAAACATAGGAGGTGCCCAAAACTGAGCCAGAACAATGTTATATCTGACCTAGTACTGTAGCAGGGAGATACCACAAACTTAGCATTTTTATTGGCATGAGAGTTCTCAGTAAATGGATGGATGTGCCATATTTCAAGGTATGATAAGCCAGCCTTCCTGAAGTTGGGACCGCTCATTCTCATTATACTGAGGGGATCCTGGGGCTTTCTTGCTCCAAAGAGGCAACAGTGACACTAACAAGGCCAACTCTGGAAATCTCCCATGCTTCCCAGAACACGGACAGGTGAAGGACATATCTTCTGGTGGAAGTACTCTCAGTGCTGAATCATCAGCATGCAAACAACTGAGAAAATGGTCAGAAACAGTTCATGGCACAAAAATGCAGAGTAAATAGGTTGCCTACCTTAATGAGAACCAATTACTTTTCTTCCTTCAATCACTAGGTACTAGTATGAAGCAGATTCTTCATCTACCTTCTAATATGATGCTACCTGCTGAACTTTGGGACTTGCTTCAGGAACACTGAAACCTTGCATTAGACATGCTAACTCCAGAGATTTCTTCAGGACAAGAGAACTGACTTCTATATTGCTCCCTGCAGTCATCAGGTAATATGGATGCGAAATGTCCCAGACAGATTAGAAGATGACTCCCCATCTGCTGCACTTCAGTAGCTCCAGTTCTACCAACTGATTGAAAAGCCACTCTGGGCTGAAAGGAGAATTCTGAGAGCAGGCCATAGCTCAGTGACAGGACCATGTTTTTGCACACAGAGGCTCCAGATTTAGCATTTGGCTTTATCAGCTAAGAAAGGGATCAGAAAGAAGCCTTGGAAAGATGAAACCCGGGAAAGGTGCTCTGCCAGGCAGAGTAGACAACACTGCACTAAGTGGACTAAAGATCTCTCTTGGCATAAGACAGCTTATTATATTCTGGTGTATTCCTGAAGAATTTTATGGAAGTACAGATATCTTCCAAAGTCATTACCTTCCGTTTGTAAATTCTGGAATGCACTGCATCTCTGAGCATACTTATATCACTGAAGTTCACAAAGCAGAGTGCAAGCTTCTGAGTTTTCAGGACTTTATGATTTCTTTTAAGCTTTCAGAGGGTCTAATAATGGCATTGTTTTAATGTGGACTGGGTTTCTCCCCTTCACCATGAGCACCTCTGGCTGGATGTGAGCAAAGCTTCCAGCCAGAAACTAGAAATGACCATACTTACTTGTGGTCTTTAAAGTCTAAAGCCTTCTGCTTTTGTTCACGCCTTTTAATTCTTTCCACCCAAAGACATGCTCACTCTTTACACTCTTTACATCCAAAACAGGGTTGTCACCACTTTTCCAAGAAGAAACTTAACACTCCATCCATATTTATACAAATGGTAAATGTGAAATACAGGGGGCAGCTTTGTGGCACTGCGGCTCAGCTGCACATAATGAGAACATTGACCCCATGTACCCAAAAATCAATGTCTTTTTCCAAGTATTTTAGAAACTGTACTCATTATTGCTCGTATTGGCAGCATTTGCTAATCCAACTATGCCAGAGAGACTGAGTGGGGAAGGAACATTCCAGTTTTGCAACAGACCTTGGAGAGCATCCCTGAAGTTACCCAATCAGAAGTCTTGACAGGATGGAATTCATTTTTGCAAACTCTTATAAACAACAGGGCTAAAGAAGAATAGCTGAGCTCAAACTCCAGCGTTATTACTCTAATCCCCAAGTAAATCCTACACAGATCATTTTCTGACCTACAGCCAAGAGCAGCTTCAGTTTGAACTTTCCATTGCATGAGGCTGCAGGCAATCCTGCAATCCTGTTCTAATCTTGTTGCTGGAATCAGTCCAGAAATGTGCAGCCTTTGCTTAAAAAAAAAGTTAGATTTCTCTCTCTTTTGCTTTAGTCCATCTGCTAAAACAAGTTTTCAGGGATTATGAAGAATCCAGAAAAAGAAAGGTCGCTCAAAGGGCAGGCACAGGTTATTAAGCGAGGCTGCGCTTTCAGACAATCCATTCATGCAATCCGTGTATCATAAACATCCGGGCAACAGGATGTTCCTACACATGCATACACTAGGTGAGTTCAGCACTGTGGCAGCGATACAGCTCTAGAAAAGCATCCTTAGATGCACCCGCAAAACTGTTCATCTCTGGTACTGAAACCGCAGCAGCTCTTGCTTAGGACACTATTATATACCATGTTACGTTTACATTTATATTTAGTTCCTCAGTGACTGTGTGTGCAAATGTGGCCTTTATCCCTAGCCATGTAAGCTGCAGTGACCAATTATGAGTGCACAAGAGAGAGCCAGGCTGTTTCGAAACAAAACAAAGTAATCACATTCCCAAGTGCCTGAAACCCTTGCTACCTGATTTTTTCCCCCTGCTCCCTATTCATAACACATCACAATCAACCACAATGCTCAGGTTTAAAAACACAGCCACATGGGCTAAATGACAGAGTTTATTATTGGGTTACAGAGACTGGTCAGTTTTGAAAAAATATAAAAAAGGGAAGGATGGGAGTTTCTAGGATGAGGCTTCCCTCTCCCATCTTTTATCCCCAGAACTAAAACCATAAGCTCAACTTTAGGACAGATCACAGTGAATCCAGGCAGAGAAGAAAAAGCAGATGGGAAATTTTTTTAAGAAATTTACCTGGTGCTTGGTAGACAAAGACTCTGACTGGGAACTTTCTGTCCTGCATCAAGACAGTTTAGCAGCAGTGCAATACAATAGCTGAAGCTGAAGCTAATCTCCGAACACAATTGCAGCGGGAAAACTTTTCTCCTTACATATGCTGGAGCAGTGTTTCTCAACCTTGGGAACTTGAAGACGTGTGGACTTCAACTCCCAGAATTTCCCAGCTTCAGCTATTCTATTGCACTGCTGCCAAACTGTCATCTTGCTGCACAGGACAGAAAGTTCCCAGTCAGAGTCTGCGTCTTCTAAGGTTGAGAAACATTGTGTTAGAGTCTTGATTAATCATGAGAGCTTTAGCGTCTGTTATTCTTTCAGCCACTCATTTCTCTATAGATATTTCTAAATATTACAGGTTACGTGTTCTCTCTGGGGGAGATCGTTATCAATATGGCTTTTACAGGTATATGGTAGAAATGATTTTCTTTCTTTTCTCAGGTGAATTTTGTGTGCAGGCGAGCGAGCAAGCGAGCGTGCATGCAGCCATCGAGAGAGGGCAGCTTGTGTTTTTGCTGCTGTGGCTCTTGTTAGTTATTCTCCCTCCTTTGGGCCACCTGGCTGCCATCTGTAGGGGAAAGGACGAGGCTGAATATTTGGGGTTCCGGTCCTCACCTGACCATTCTCATCTAAGGACCTGCAAGAATCCTGCAGTTTATTTCCAGTTTCCTTCTCTTCTGAATCTTCTGCTGCAGGCATTTCACGCAAGCCTGTTGCAATGCATCAGAGACAGAGTTCTAAGATTTGCAATTGGAGACAATCATAAACCAATGTTTCCCATAGCAGCAAGAGGCAAAACAGGCACAGTTTGCTGCCCATTTAACTCCTGGCCGTGACAGTTTCTCCTGTGACAGTTTCTCCTGTCCGTTAATCCATGGCTTTGACATTCAGCCTGTCCCCAATCTATTATAATAACTATGCCACAAGAAAGCAGGGGAAGAGTAGCCAACAAGGCCACTGAGAGAATGGATGTCAAAGGCTGCTTGAATTTCTCGCCACAAAGAATGTTCCCTGGCTTTTACTTTCACTACCATAATTATCTTTCAACTGGGAAATAAGGTGAGCCAAGAGCTCTCAGATTTAAATCTAACTTTAGTCATGCAGGCTTAAGAAAGCCATGCTTCTGAAGCCTCAGTATCTTATGACTCAGGGGATAATAATCAGAGCCACAACATTTGGTCAATTAATGAATTACCATTTACATGGCTTTTCAACCATTAAAAAAGGAGTTCTGCTGAATCAAGAACCAAATCTTCCTAGGGTGTTTTTTCCCCCCTTTATAAAAGCAAGCTTGGAGTGACTTTCCACTTTCTTTGATTTCACATTATCTTCTTCTAAGATTCTGCTATTCCGCCCCCCCCATTAAAATTAAATGTTATGTTTGCATCTTTGTTTATATAGACTTAAAACTTTACTAGCTAATCAACCAAAATGTATTTCATCGACTGACAGCCCTATCGGCCTTTCCTATGGGGTTTATAACAACTTTTTTTTAAGATCTATCTTCCTAAACCAAGCAAGCTCCAGACATCTTGGACTGACAGCCCTATCAGCTCCTACTGCACAGTTACTGGGGTTAGAGAGAAGCTGCAACCCAACTTATCTTAAGGAAGCCAGGTTGAAGAATTTAGATAGATTCAGATTTAGATAAGGGGTGTTGAGTTATCATCTGATCTCAAGTTCTCTAACCTGATGTTTCTTCCACAAAGCTATGCTAGCTGGGGAATAGTAAGAATTGAAGTTGGACACACCCTGAGGCCACCGTAGTGTGGAATGCTGACCTAAAACTATTATATAAGTCCCACATATTCTAAAATGGGTTTAGCCTCCTTAACCATCTGTACTGTCCTAGGTTGGTTTTATTTGTACTCCCTGCCACCCAACTTTGACCCAACTGATGTTCCTGCCTGGCTTCACCATCATAGTATGAT